AATTGAGCAAGTTATGAGTTGCACAAGTTGGGAAATTTTGAAGAAATTCATGAAATGTAAAATGAGCAAAATTGAAGTTTTGAACTAATGGGCCTAACTTTTGATGTTAAAACATGTTCATAAGGTGTTAGAGGACCTCTAAATCCATTCACTTATTTTTTATGATTTTTATTTCTTTTATTTTAATTTTTATTCATTTAAAAGCAAATAAAATCAAATAAAATATGAAACAATGGTATAAAGGTTTGGACTTTTTGTTTCAACCATCCAAAGGCCCAAGACAACTCATGACAACTCATTACAACCTTGCCAAAATATGCAAGACTCAAAATGGCAAAGAAATAACTCAAACTGGCAAGTCTTCAAAAATTGATTCTTGTTTAAACCATGGCTTCATGAGTTGATTCCATGCAATATTTGTCAGCCCAAATACAAGCCAACAACAGGTCCAGATTCGTGCAAGGCATCCAAGAGATAAGAATCATGCAAAGAGGGCAAGTTTTCAATGTGTTGGAATATTAATTTCATGAGCATGAATACCTTGTCCCTTTCAATACTTGTTGGCTCCCATTTCATTCTCTATATAAAGACAAGCAAAACCATGCCAAAGGACCACGAAACCATTGCACAAAAAGCTCTCCAAAAATTCTCTAAAATTCAAAGAAGTTGTGAAAATTATATCTCACATTTCCATCAAGTTCTAATCTGAGCTAAGGCTAGCATTCACCTCCTGAAGATCAAAGGAGTTGATCTAGATCCATAGTTGTACTCCTCGAGCACCAGAACAAGATTTGTGCATCACGTCGATTTTTTTGAAATTGGTAAAAATCAAAACTATGTTTTCTTGCATTTTTAATCATTACTAACATGTTTATTCTCCTCCTATGCATCATTAGAATAGGATAGGTACATTACATGTAAAGTTTGACACATAAATGGTGTTTTACCATTGTTAGAACACCGAAGTCATTGATCATCAAACTGGACATTGCAAGCAACCTTCTCCCCTTGCACCCCTCATCTGCTTTTCACAAAGCAGGCCCATTGTTCTTTTTATTATTATTATTATTTTAATCTATCTCTTTTCTTTTTTTAATCAATTTTTTTACAAAAATCATAAAAATCAAAAAAATTAGATATAGATTTTAATTAATTAACTTTATTTTCATAATAAAACTTAACTAATTTAATCACTTTAAGTTTATTTTATTAATTAAAATATAATTAGAATTAGGATTTAATTATCATTCAATTATTTTTCTAAATAAAAACACCAAAAATATTTTTCATACTTAGAATTTTTTTTGATATCTTGCCTTCTTCAATCTCTGCGTGTTTATTTACTTTTTCGCATTTTTTCAATATTGTAACTGTTCAAAGTTTATAATAGCTAATTAGGACTCCTTTACATTTTTATCCCCATTTTATGGTTTGTATTCCCCCATCTCCGAAGCGATGTAATAGCGTAGTTTAATTCTTGCACTTTTATTTCTTGCCCTTATGTATATATTTAACTGTTGGATTAAATATGCGTGCGTGGCAAGACTTAAAAGCAAACACTAGAAAACCTAACTTCAAGATCAATAACTGAAACATAAAACACTTTGCACACACGCACCTCTAGGGTGGCCCCCACTTGTTGCCTTCGGAAAACAAACAGTCACGTCTCTCGAACGTGAGAAGTTTTAGCAAAGACCCTTTGGTTACAAGATCACAGTCCCTCGATGATCCTTCAATGCTGCCTTGGTAAATGATCTTGATACCTTAGAGTAATTGCTAAAATGTCTTACGAGTTGCCTTCGTGACTGTACGATGATCCTCGCATGTCCCTCAAAACATCCAATGATAGGGCTACCTACTAACTAATGATAGGATATCACTATCTAAAAAAAAGAGGAAAAGAACAAAGATCATTCGAGTAGGTAGACAGCTTGTAGTTGCTTGTTCACAAAACAAAACAAATTTCTCGCACATACACTCTCTTTTCTAAAATATTTTCAAAGACAAAACACTTTGTATGCATTCTCAACGATACGAGAATCATTATAAAGTTTGCCTCACTAAGGCATCTTTTCAAAATATTTTCAAAACATACTTACACAAAAAGTATTTTCAAAAGTGAGCTAGCAACAAAGAGCCCATAGATAACTACGGATGGAAATGGTGCTAACACATTCCCTTTCCATAAACTACCCCCTTACTCAAAATATTTTTGAAAGGTCTTTCCTGTTCTTTTCACTCTTTTCTGTATTGGATAAAAGAAAAGTCAGTGGCGACTCTTGCTATCCGCAACATTTATGATAAAATGAAAAACAAGTAAAGTCAGTTCTTCCACCGTATTACACCCGCACTAAGCTACTCTAAACCCTAGTCACATGCATTTATAGGAGAATAAACAGAAAATATAACCTAAAACAGGGAACATTTTGGCAAAACAGAAGGAAAACATGATACTTACCAGGTTAGGAAAGACTAGCGACGGAACGGGCAGAGATTACAGCGGTGAACGGCAGAAAGAGCAAGAACTTCGAAGGAGAGTGACGGTGTCGTGTAAAAGCTAGAGACGAGCAGAGAAAGAGCAAGCGAAAAGTGAAAATAAAGCTTCCTCTCTCCCTTTTATAAAGCAGCTTGCTGGCACGTGAGCGGGCACGCGCCTAGGAAACCCTAAGAGGCGTCATCGTTGCGCCCTAGTTCCTAGACTAGCCATCATTACACCTTTATGACAACACGTGGCTCGATGCAAGCACAACACGTTAAACCTTAAAGACTCAATCAATTGTTATTCTCCTAGCTAGACGGGTACACCAAGCATTGCTCGTACTCCTCGCGCATAGTTGCCCACGAAACGTCCCTCGTCACGAACACATCTTAAGTCCTCACTCCTCTAACCAAAAGCAACGACTTGGGGGGCTCCTGTTCTGGACTGGTCCAATGACTAGAATTGACATAATCCGCTTCCGCCTTCAACATGGCCCAATAACTCTGGCACATCAACGCTGCTCTCCGTCGACCACGGTTGGTCGTTCGCTCCCCAAGCACAGCATCATCAACACACCCCGAGCCTTACACCTGCCCGTAACGACAACTTTCTTCCTGATTTGCTCGTTACACGTCGAGCAGACAACCAGACTAGCGCTCATAACGCGTCTGCCCGTCATCTCGTCCTTGCTAGGAGCAACGGCTAGCTACGAGCACGACTGCTCGTTTTGATCGGGTCCTAGCAGTTACCTATTTTTGCATACTCAAATATCCAGACCCAAAAATAGGAATCAATGACTACACGCGGGAGTATTATATAAACTCTCATATTTGTGAGGACCAGGTATCCAATATTCATACTAAAACCCCTAATACCTTTCTTGTATCTTTTTACACTAATTCTTTCTTGATTGTCGGAGTGTCTTACAGATACTCCTCTCTTCTTCTCATATTTCCACCTAAGCAGACGTCATCATCAAAGCCCACCTTCAAATTCTGCTCAACCGATAAGATCATAATCTAAATAATAAAAATGTGTTAAATTAACTTAAAATATATTATCTTAAAATATTAAATAAACTATTATTTATATTATCTATTTTAAATTAAAAAATTAAATTGTAATACATTAACAAGATAAAAAAAATTATCCTATCAATAAAGAAATTTAACTTTATTTTAATCATCTATGAAATAATACAAATGAATTATGGTGATGAATTGACGGTATAACTTTTTACACTAATGTAATTAATCTCTAAATTAAATATTTTATAAAAAAAATGATTTCTTTTAATTTATGCTACTAAAGGCTGATTTTTCTTTTATATATAAAAGTGTAGATTGTTTAAAAGTAAACAATATTTTAACAAATTTTTAATACAATACTAGTAACAAACTCGTGCTATCGCACGGGTCTCGTCTGGATTCACATTACATTTATAGCTTATTAAATTATTAAGTATGTTACCATGTTTTCAGTTGAGTATATGTCTCATTTAAACCATGTTGGCATTTAACTCCATATTTGTAGCAAGCGTCGGTCCTATCAACAAATCACGTCTGCATGAACAAATAGGAAAAATTATATACTTTTTGAAATACATGGAAAATGTACATACTATAAATTTTAATTCAAAATAGATTTTTAATTTGAATCGTAAAATATAAGATATAAAGTTTACCAACTATCAAAGTGCTTGAAAGACTTCCTTGTACACAACATTAGTAGTAGTAGAACACGGTACATTCTCCTTGTCATGAATTAGGATTTTTAGCCCACTTTTGCTCTTAACTCTTGAAATTGCAACATATAATTGACCATGACTAAACACAGGAGTAGGCAAATACAGTCAAACACTATCAAGAGATTGACCTTGTGACTTATTAATTGTCATTGCATAGGAGACAATAATCGGAAATTGTCTCCTAATCAACTTGAATGGCCAAGGTGAATCAGAAGGTGACATAGACATTCGTGGAATGTAAAAAATGTTACCTATGTTCTTTCCAGACATGATTTTTGCCTCAATGACATGATTTGCAAATCTTGTAACAATTAATCTTGTTCCGTTGCACAACCCATCGGCTTGGTCCAAATTTCTCATTAGCATAATAGGTGTACCAACCTTCAATTTGATCCTATGATTGGGAAGCCCTGACGTTCTTAATTTACTGAGAAATTCAAGAGTTAGAACTTCATATGCTTCAGTATAACTTGAATATGTTCTATCAATGGAATCAAAACTCAAATACTCTTTCTCTTCTCCTAAAAAAAAGTTTAAAAGCAAAACATAAGGTGGCTGCGGATCTGTGCGTAAAGCAGAAGGAATTAGTACAGTACCATCGAGAACTTACAATATACATTGTGAATACCTTCTTAACTCAAACAAATGCGGTGAGCCTGGCGGCGTCGCCGCGGATCTGCACGCAAAGCGCAAGGATTGGAGTTCGTGTAAGATGGTTGCGGATCTGTGCGTAAAGAAGAATGAATTAGTACAGTACCATCGAGAACTTACGATATGCATTGTGAATACCATCTTAACTCAAACAAATGCGGTGAGCATGGCGGCGTCGCCGCGGATCTGCAGGCAAAGCGGAAGGATTGGAGTCCATATAAGGTGGCTGCGGATCTGTGTGTAAAGCAGAAGGAATTAGTACAGTACCATCGAGAACCTACGATATACATTGTGAATACCTTCTTAACTCAAACAATTGCAATGAGCGTGGCGGCGTCGCCGCGGATCTGCACGCAAAGCGGAGGATTGGAGTACGTGTAAGATGGCGGCGGGTCTGTGCACAACTCAGATGGAATAAGAGCAGTGGTTTTGTTTTCATATGTCCTTAGGCGTTTTTGTAATTTTGTTTTAAGGAGAGCGGGCTCGTTCAATGGTTTTGATTTTAGATATACAACTATTAAAAAATCTGTGGTATCATATGGGTCCTATCCGAATTTCATATAATATAGAACTAACTTTGAATTGTAATAGATCATTCGTATATATTATTCAAATTTAAAATATTAAAATGATTTAACCAAAGTTCAAATTTAAAATATTAAAATGATTTAACCAAAGTTCAATCAATTAGAAAAAAAAATTAGTGTATCAAATTAATTTGCTTTCCATCGATAACATTAATGATAACAATATCGTATTTGAATTTTAGATATGAAGCAACCTGCTGTCCATTGATGTTTTCAACTCATTAGTCTGCATGATAATTTGTGCAAAAATCATACACCAAATATGCAAATAATTTATAAACAAAAACATTTGTGTTGTCGTGTACTTACCCATTAACAAAGCAATTGAAAAATTTCATTGTATACAACATTTGTAGTGATAGAAGATGATACATTCTCATTATCATGTATTAAGATTTTAAGACAACTTTTGCTTGTAACTCTTGAAATGGCTACACACAATTGTCCATTACTAACAATTGTCCATTACTAAAAACAGGAGTATGCAAATACAATCCAACGGTATCAAGTGATTGGCCTTGGAATTTATTAATTGTCATTGCGTTAGAGACAATAATTGGAAATTTTCTCCTAATCAACTTAAATGGTCACGGTGACTCAAAATGTGACATAGACATTCGATGGATGTAAAAGATGTTATTTATGTTCTTTACAGGCATGACTAATAAATATAGACTAATAATATGCACTTGTTTTTTAAGCATTAATATGTATTTATAATAAATCATACAGACTATTCACTAACTTCAATTATATAAGATTTAAAAGATGAATATTAAAATTAATAATCTATAGTCAGTATCTCATAGATGCGTTCTCATCTACCCGTGAATTAAGATAATTTAACAAACCCAGTTGAATCCAAATGAATTAGTTCTAAAAATTTATTTAATCTATTTTAGATATCAACCCATTTTTCCAAACCTAAAATATATGACAACTCCCGTCAAATTTATACTTTTATATTATATGTGCTCACATCTACGTGAGTTAACGAACTTCAGTTGAATCCAAATGAATTAATTTTAAAAATTTATTAAACATATTTTATATATTAATCCATTTTTTTAAATTAAAAATGTATGACATCTCCCGTCAAATTTCAGTTTTAAAACTTTTATATTATATCATATTTACATATTTTTTTACAACCTATAATGTATAACAGTTTCCCGTTAAATTACAATTATTTTTAAAAAGAACATAAAAAATAAATAAAATTTATAGATAAAACTATTGTATATTATTTTCTATATTTATTTAATGAATGAAATTTATTTTAGATGAATTTATTTTCTAATTTGTATTTAAAAATATAACTTAATTGTCATTTAAAACAGTACATTCAATTCTTTAACTTCAATTATATGGTATGTCATAGATACATTTATTCTATCCGTGAATTTATTTCATGTACTCAGTTGGTTAATATTAATATAATTACAATATATAATCATTTATCAAATTTGAATTTCTCATTTATAAAAATAATTTTAAATTATTCTCGTTTATAAAAATGAACGTGTGTCTATTTATAAAAATATATGAAACTTATACTCTTTTATAAATATAATTGTATCAATACTTGAATTTTTCCAGTTTATAAAAATATTTATAATTTATTCATGTTTATAAAAATTATTGTAATTTATTTTTAATTTGTAAAATTAATTATATTAATATGTAGACTTTTTCTCGTTTATAAGTGTCTTTAACCCGTGTGACAATTTATAAAAACATTTTAACTTATTCATGTTAAAAACAATTACATCATTTGAATTTTGTTCGTTTATAAAAATATTTGTAAGTTATTTAAGTTTATAAAAATAATTGTAAAAATAAATATTTACCATATCATCTTAAATTTATTTATTCAACAGTGATAAATATGTGTTTCTTAGTTAATTACATTAATAAATAAATATCGTGTATTAGTCATATATATTAAATTTATTATCTTAATGTCTAACTAATTAAAATGAATTTATTATTGTCAATCAAAAATTATAATATTAAATAATAATATAATATTATTATTATATACGGGAAAAAGAATAAATTAAATCTAAGAATATCGGAAAATTTATTATAATATTAAATAATAATTTAACATTTATTATTACAATGAATCATATATAACATTTCAAAATTATGTATTTATTTCTTATGTTTTATTATATTCGATTTGTAATAAATATTTTTCAGTTTATTGCGAATTTTCAATAATTAAATATTAATGATATTATATAAAATAAATTTCATGAAATAAATTTATTTAATAAAGTGTTATATAAATATTTAATACATTATATTATACTATTAATTTATATAAAATAATATTAACTTATTCATGTTTATAAAATTATTGTAATTTTTTTCCGGTTTATAAGCATGTTGAATTCGTGTGTCCATTATTAAAATATATGTAATTTACTATTATTGATATAAATAATTTTATAAATAGTTTAATTTATTACATTTATAAAATTATTTGTAATTTATTCACCTTTATAAAATTAATTATAAATTATTTAATTTATTAAAATGATTGTATCAATAATTTTTTATTTTATCATAAATTTTTATGATTATCATTTATCATTAAATTTTTATGATTACCATTTAATATTTTTTTATCATGATTACAATTATAAAGTTAATTTGAAAAGATTATGATATATTTTAGTTATTTCATAAACTTAAAAAAATTATCAAATCTCAATTGATTTTGTTTTGTTTTATTAACCTTTTTATAGAAATTGAAATAATTTATTTTAGGTCAAATAAGGATCTAAATAGTTACAAAATAATATTTATTCTTACATTTATAGAATGATAAATTAAATATTTAAGATAAACATTAGAGTTCTTATTTACTTTATCTTTTATATATTTATAATATACTTTTTTGTTAATTTTATTAACAATACATTTATAGTTAACAATACATCCTTTAAACTACGTTATTTTTTTCAAGAATATAAATGTAACCTTTCAAAAAATATACACAAATATATTTAGAAGTCGGTAGAAAATTTTATTGGTTAAATTATAATTCTATTCAAAATTTATTGATCATAAATTTTTGAAATCAAATCATGCATAAAAATAAAATGTATTAATAAATATATTTATGTCACCATTCAAAACATAATAATGTCTCCATTCAAAAGATATATTGGTAAAGTATCGAATTAAATGGTACTCCAATATTTGATTAAAAAATTGTAATATTTGTTTTTAATATTGTATAAAAAATATATTAATTAGTCGGACTTTAAAAAAATAAATCGTAAATATTTTATTAAAAATTATAATATTTGTTTCTAAAATTATAGCAATTAAAAATAAAAAAATATCAATACAAAATAAAAATTTTATTCAAATTTCACGACAAATGAGAATTATAATTTCGATTCAAAATAAATTAGAATTTTGAAGGCACAACAACACCAACTTGTAGGTTATTATCTTCTCTTTAGGAGAAGAGAAATTCTATTTAAAAAAGATTGTAAATATATCTTAATTGAACGAAACTTAGAGTAATGTGTTTGCTAGAGGCAATGTTACATTCAAAAGAACTTAGAATTTGGTGTAAAATAAATTCCATTAAAACATAGGCCTACATAATTTGCAGTAGAAAAATATATTATGCTAAAACCAATGTTGATATGACATACAAAATATGAAGGCAATAATAATATACATATACATAATTTGAATCAAATCTTGTTAAAAACATTCTTCTATAGAACCAGAAAATGATCGCATATCAACGTTAGTTTTATCATCTTATACATCTTAGATCATTATTGTCTTGCTTATGGTTCTTCTGAAATTGGTAGTGAACTTCAGCAACACCCGCTACTCTTGAACCCTTAAAAACATATTACTTTAGAACTTCAGGTGAATAAGAGTCTCATCCCTTTGACTATCGTCATGTTCATCAAAATCTCGTTCCTCTTCCAAAAACAGTTCCTCCAAACATTGCAATGAGACATTTGCATTTGCTATCTGTCAGAAAATACAATTAGTATATAATCAGTACCTGCCAATGAAAGCCATTGATATTCCTTGTGGAAGCATAAAATTCAATGGATTCAATTTCCTAATCTTCAATTACGGCTGTAGATGGAAATCAAATGCTCGGGAAATCAAATCATCTGCACCATATTGAACATATATTTACTATTATAAGGTTAACTATCAAATAACTTGAATAAAAATATAAGTTAACACTTGGCTTTGATGATGAATCACATGTGAAAATCGACTCGATTAAGTAGATTTAAAATAGTGGTCTCTAGTTCTGTTATGACAGTCTCCAATTCTTCTTTAGCAATATTTTTGTTTGTGAAATTAGAGAAGCAAATGGTCACTCAGCCATGACCATGGTGAATATTGGCACTTAAAATGCTAAGACAACTCTGCAAACAATAATATTATAAAGCATTAAAACTAAAAACAAACTGTTTATTTCTTGGGCATGATAAAAAGCCACGCCATAAACTCATGGCCAATTTGAATTCATGGGAGAAGGCCGGTGACAGCCCTGTCCATCATTGCACACAGTGAGTTTAGGAAGATCATTGGTGCAACAGATGTCCTGTTGACCCCTATAAGCCGAACCACTAATCCCTCTCTATCTTCAACCTCGAAAACAAATGCTTGAATCGACCATGAGGTAAAGTTTGATAATTCCTTGTTAAGAAAGATTGTGACTATATTAAACCTGTTTTCACATGACAAAATCAAATTGCAATCAACATAATTTCATTTTACGTATCAATGTAT